CCAAGGTCAGGAACTTGCAGAACTCAGTTCATGGGACAGCAATTAGACTTAGACCTTAGATTAGACTACTTTGGGAGCACTTGATACCTTGCAAATCCCTAGATTGAGCTGTTCCTGAGATCTTGAAATAATACAACACTCAATACCCCAAGAAAGGGGCCAACTTAGACCTCCCTCCACAAGTGCTCAGGCAAGTCAGAAAGTAGGCAAGAAGAGTGAGAGGGAACAAATCCCATCGTAAAAAGCTATTATGGGGAGAGGGATGCTCAAGACACAAACCCAGAAGAAAATGACTGCAAAACATTTACAAGCAAAGCCTCAAAGAAAAACTAAGCTTGTACACAAACTTAGCTAGAATTCCTAGAAGAAATGAAATAAGTTAAAAAAAAAGTTAAAGTGTTTTTATAAATGAAATGAAAGCAATAGAGGACAAAATGGAAAGGAAATGAGAGTTATAAAAGAAAGAATTGGAAAGGGAAGCAACAACTTGGCACAAGAGATACAAAACCTTACCCAAGTAACAAGATCCCTAAAAATTAGAATGGAACATAGAAGACAATGACTCAATGAAACAACAAGAAATGTTAAAATCAAGTTCAAAGACTAAAAAAAATTAGAAGAAAGTATAAAATGTCTTATAGCAAAACAAAACAAAACAAAAAACCCCCCAAAAACCTGACCTGGAAAACAGCAAGGAGAAAAAAAAATTGAGAATTCCTGGAATATCTAAATGCCATGACTAAAAAAAGGGGGGGGGGGCTAGACTTCATATTTCAAGGAATCATAAAAGAAAACTACTCAGATCTCTTAGAGCCAGAGGACAAAGTAGAAATAGAAAGGATCCACTGGTCATTTCCTGAAAGAAACCCTCAAATGAAAACTTCAAGGAATATTATAGCAAAAATTCAGAACTTACAGGTGAAAGAAAAAATACTGCAAGCATCCAGAAAGAATTCAAGTACTCAAGAGTCATAGTCAGAATCATAAACAATTTAGCAGCCACTGCTATAAATTAGAGGAGAGCTTGGAATACAATATTTCAGAAAGGAAAGGATGTAGGCTTACAGCTAAGAGTAACTTACCCAGAAAAATTAAGAATAGTCATATGGGGGTGTGAGGGTGAAAAGGAACCTTTAAAAAGACTTCCAAGCATTCCTGATGAAAAGATCAGAGCTATATAGAAACTTTGAAACTCAAATGTGAGTTGAGAAACATAAAAAGATAAACATAAAAAGGATAAACTGCTTACATTTAAATATGGGGAAATGATACATGTGTCCCCTCTGAACCCTATAATTATTATAGGCCATTCAAATTCAAATTAAACAAAAGGCCTGGGAGTGGTTGTTTTATGCCTTGATAGTCTTAAAAAGAATGGAAACAGAGGTGAAGAGGAATTCCCTTACTAGAGGTCAGGGAAAGGAATGTTAGGCAAAGTTATCTCACATATTTGGGATGTGCAAGTAGAAATATATACAAGCAAGGAGGAATGGTGGGGAACAGTTTGTACTTGAACTCTCATCTGAACTGATCAAAGAAGGAAAGAATACACAAACACAGTTGGGTACATTTCACTCAATAGGAAAATGGAAAAGGGAACATAAGAAGGAAGGTAACTCTAGGGAGGGAGTAGTCCTAAGCAAAACAAACTCTAATTAAAGAGATATAATATATATTTATAGCCCTTTTGATGTGGCAAAGAATGAGAATCTGAGGACCTGTCTATCAATTGGGGAATGGCTGAATAAGTTATGGTATATAAATGTTGTGAAATACTATTATGCTATAAGAAATTATGAAGGGGATGGCTTCAGAGAAACCTGGGAAGATTTAATGATCTGATACAGAGTGAAGTGAACAGAACCAGAAAAACAATTTATACAATGACAACAATATTGTAAAGTTGAATAACTTTGAAAAGCTTAGGAGCTATGATCAACATAATGATCAACCATGATTCCCAAGGACTTGCAACAAAACATGCTACTCACCTCCTGATGGAGAGGAAGATTCAGAATGCAGAATGTGTGTGTGTGTGTGTGTGTGTGTGTGTGTATGTGTAAGCATGTGCAGAATCTATGTATATAACATATACATATGGGGCAGCTTTGGTGGTTCAGTGGATATGAGCACTGGACCTTAAGTCGGGAAGATCTGAGTTCAAATCCAGCTTCAGATACTTGCTAGCTGTGTGACCCTGGGCAAGTCACTTACCCCCCCATCTCAGTTTCTCATCTGTAAAATGAGAACGTAGTGAAGAAGAAAATGGCAAACCACTCTAGTTTCTTTGCCAAGAAAACCCATGGACAAAAGTTCATGGGGTCATGTAGAGTCAGACAAGACTGAATGACTGAATAACAACAACAATATATACATACACACATACATACAATATAAGTTTTTAATTTCCAATCTATAAATATATAGAAAATATGTATATATATACTGTTTCATTCTTACTCTGAATCTTTCCAGTCTATAAATATAAATATACACATGTATACATGTATATATGTGTATGTGTAATATAATATTTTTTCCTTTCAGACATGGCCAATGTAGAAATTTGTTTTATTATACTATATATGTTTATAATTGGAGTTTAATTTTTCTTTTATTCTCAACTGCAATGGGTATGAGGGAGAAAAAAGAAATTTTGCTGATTGAAAAAAATCCAATTAAAAAAATAGCTAGCCAGTGACTTTTCAAGTACAAAGTGATAATTCATTTCAAAAAGGATCATGCCGCAACCATCTAGAAGAGTGTCCAGATATTGCTGTAATTGTAGTTTATGGACTTACAAGCTATAAGTCTATGTCAGGAGGAATTACAGTTCATGGAATTAATTACTAGATTAGTTTCTTGGAATGTGGTGCTAACTTTGTTTCTAAAAATGATTCACAATCAATTCCATCTTCCTTATTTGTAAAATGGGAACAGGACCACCAATCTACTTCATGTGTTAGTTTGTTGTGAAAGAAAATTGAATAAAATAATAAAAGAAGACCAAAATGATGAAATACCATAGAAAAGTATATTGATAACACTCTTAGGAATTTCTATACTCCCTTTGGTGAGCTACCCTTTAATAAATCTACATCAGAATGAATCAGCATGTAAACTGCTATTTAAATGTGTTATTGTTATTAGAAAATTTCTATAAGTCCTGTCCAATAATTTTAAAAATACATATTTGGATAAATGAAATTCTCCATGTGACTTAGTTTTGCTTAACATAATACATTATTTAATCTCAATTCTTTTTCATTTTTTTGTAGTTTACATTTCTCATATATAGTGATGAATTTTGTGGTATAAAGGATAGATCTAAGCTATATTTTCACAGCAAAAAATTGGAATCTGTAGGGGGGCCTATTGTTTGGAAACTGGCTGAACAAATTATGGTATATTAATGTGATGGAATACTTTTATGCTGTAAGAAATGATGAAAGGATGGCTTAAGAAAAACCTGGAAAGAACTGATGCAGAATGAAGTAAGTACAAGCAAGAGAACAATTTTTACAATAACAGCAGCATGTGAAAAGGAATAACTTTGAAAGTCTTTAGGAATTCTGATCAACACAATGACTAACCACAAGTCCAGAGAACTCATGATGAAACAGACTACCTAGTTCTTGATAATGGACTAAGCATTCAAAATTTATATATATGTACATATGTGCATGTGTACATAAAATATTTTGTATATGTGTGTATGTTGGACATGGTAAATGAGAAATTTGTTTTGTTTGGCAATACATGTTTGTAATGAGATTTTTCTTTTCTTGTTTTCACAATGGGAGAGGGAAGTAGGAGGGAGAGAAGGTAAATCTCCATTTAAAAAATAACATTTAAGGTTATACACACACACACACACACACACACACACACACACAAAAGGAACTAATAAGTGAGGATTAACAACCATCTTCCAAGGATAAGAAAGTTGGGTACTTATAGCTATTGTAGTGAATTCAATTATATATGTATTAGAAGTGGTGCTAGAAAACCATCAAAATTAAAGTAGGCTTTTTTAAACTAGATTTGCATATAATATGTGTGCAACAAAGACTCAACTTTGCTGGGTGTCCTAAAAGTATTAGCAGAGCAACTTAGTGATACTCTTTTAGAATTACTCACTTAGACTTCAGAACTTAGAAATCAAGGCATGCTAGAAGTAATGGACTAAGAAATTTTGTCTTCTTATTGTTTTAGGCCAAATAATCTGGTTGCATATTGTACAACAAATTTTGAAAAACCATGTCAGATTTTGTAAATGCTCCCACAGACATTCTAAAAGCTTAATAAGAATCATGTCTCAGAGACAACATTTTTGAAGTAAAGGGTGTAAATATGGCTCCAATCAATAATTCTCTTCAACAGCCGTTTTGCTGTTTTTTCTGGTTTCATTCTTTTCTATTTATGTAGGACATTTTCCCCTTCTCATCTATTCTAATTCTATGTAAAAAACTGAAGCTATTTAGGCCATTAAAAAAAAGGAAGGGGATTTTTTTTTAGAAGAACATGACAGCTGTCTTCAAATAGCTAAAGAATCTTCACATGATAGAGAAATTAAAATTAGAAATGTTTTGCTTGGCTCCATTGGACAGAACCAAGAACAATGGGTGAAAGTTTCAGAGAGGCAGAATTTGACTCTATATAAAGGAAAAACTTCCTAACAATTAGAGCTGTCCCACAGTGGAATGAGCCATCTCAGAAGATAGTGAGATCTCCAGCCTTGGAGTTCTTCAAAAGGAGAACAGATGACGATTTGTTAGGAAACATTATAGAAGGGATTTCTGCGCAGGTTAGGGTCAGGCCTAGGTCCTCTGAGATCCCTTCCAGTTCTGAGCTTCTGTTCTTTTCTCTCTTGCCAGGGATGATATGAACAGCTTCTTTCCACTCCCTTTTTTGCCCCCTTACACTGAACTGCTTCAGGTTTTAGCTGAAGAATGGCAAAGACAAATATAATAAGCATTGGGCATTCTTTACCCAAACTGTTCAGTATAACAAGCCATCCTGTTTATTGTACTGTCATAATCAGCTTACTTAGACTAAGGCTAAGTACCAAACTGCAAGATCTTACACTGTTGGTCATGTTACAGGGTTGGGGGAAAAGTTATGTAATTGGTCTGTAAATCATAACCAGGTGATTTGGTAACATGCTTGTAATCCAGGAGCACAATTTACAATTCATGGCTAAATGCTCCACCATCCTTCAAAGGTTTTTCTCCATACTATTAGAAAACACATATGGCTATATGACATTAATTTAAACCCTTTATAGTTGTATCAAACTTAGAACACTTGGACAATGCTTTTGGCAAAGCAAGAAACAAAAGCACTTTCACAATATGATGCAGTCACATTGTTCTCATGTGAGTAATTGGTTTTCCTACAGAATGGAAACCAACTGTTTCAACACATACTATGTCTGTCATCTTTTTGATGCACACCAAGGAGTTCCAAATGAGTGGACCTAAAGTGACCTAAAGGACCTAAGTCACCAAAAGTGATTTTAAACAAAAGCCATCTATTACATAAGTGGGAATCCACAATTTGGAAATGGCCATCTTCACTTCTCTTGTTAACCCAGTGGTTCATGGTCATAGTCTGATGGGAACCTTTCTGAAAAGAGAGCCTACCCAACTATTGCCTGGCTGGCATAATTTTAAATAACTTCCTTTTTAAAAGCAAATATGGGAGCTGTGAAGGTCCATCTCAAAGCTTCCTCAAGCTTTACTTGGAACTTCTTTGAAATATTCTTCTGTCGCAATGTTGGAAACTCCTCCATGCCAATTCTGGAGCCACACATTTTCGACATTCATTTTCATGAAAAACCACTCGTAATGACGGGGCCACTTCCTCATCACTGGATGCCTGTAAGAACAAAAGAAGATATCAAAGCACAGCTATTTCTCCTTAAAATGTTTTTGAATTTTCTTTTTTATTGTGAATTTAATCATCAAACACGAATATTTCAAGATACAAAGGCAAAGAGGAAGGAAGATTGTATAGGAAACTGTGAACTTCCATTAGTACAAATTTTTTTAAAGCATATATCTATCTATTATATTTGTGTCCCCCTTCTATACTTCTTTTTCTTCCTTTGTCCTTTTAAAGATATTTTAGTAATACTCTTTTAAAATTCACATCTATCTATCTATCTATCTCTCTATTATCTCTCCGTCTCTTGGTCTTATTTACATCCCCATTCTATACTTCCTTTTTTCTTTTGTACTTTAAAATGTTTTACTAATGCTCTTTTTATATTCATATCTATCACTACCCACTAACCCACATTTCCTCCCCACTCACAAGTAGAAGCCCTCCTTTGTAACAAATACATATAGTCAAGCAGAGTAAATCAACCCATTGGGCCAGGTCTAAGAATGTATATCTCAATCTTTATCTCTAATCATGCGAGGGAAAAGAACTTTGAAAGGCATCAGAATTCTGACCAATTTGTCTATTTCTTTAAAAAAACACACATGTAAGTAATTAATTATAAATTTAAACAAATTATGAATTTAAATAATGAACCAATTAAGCAGGCACTTAGTCTCAATTACTTATTTTAATATTTCAAGCACCTGCAATTTCATCAGTGTGGGTATTCCCTCTGCAGATGAGGTTTGTAATCCTTTTATGTCTTAAGAGATAGTCTTCATGAAAATGTTGTGGCTGAAAAAATTGATCACTCATTGGTCAACCTCTGGTGATAATCCTTTCTGCTTTTAGCTAGGCTTATGACCTAATGATAGGCATACTTTGTCTCAAGGCCACTATTCAAAGCCTTGCCATTTTGGCAAACAAACCTTCAAATCAATTCACCAAACATTTATTAAGTGCCTTTCCTGACATCCTTTGCCTCAGTTAGGCCTCCTCCCAACCTAGAAATTTTTTTTACTTGTGTATATTTTGTATTTCCTTATATGCACACATGTTGTTTCTCCTGATGGAATAAAACACTTTAAGGTCAGGGGCAATTTTTGTCATTGTATCCCCAGTGCCTGGCACAGGTCAGATGCTCAGCTAAATAAATACTTATTGGTTGTTTGAGCATAGGTTGTTTGATGTAACTTTTTCTTTTTTTTTTGATTAACAAACATTTATTTTCTCTCACATCCCCCTTCCCACTGTTGAGGAAGAAGAACGGCAAAACAAAACCTTAGTTTAAATAAATACATGTATGTATATGTGTATATATGTACAATATACATACATATATACATACACACACACACACACACACACAAACAAAATTAACCAAAACAAATTCATGCATGGGCTATATCCAAAAATGTAAGACTAACTCTGCATCTTGAGTCCATCACCTCAGTGTCTGGTCATAATGGGTAATATTCTTCATCACTGAGTTTCTTTTGTGGTTGGTCATTGAATTGATCAGAATTATTAAGTCTTTCAAAGGTGTTTGTTTTTGTATAAATTGTTTTTCCTGGTTTTGTTCACTTAATTCTGCTCTGGTTCATACAAATCTTCCCAGGTTTCTCTAAACCTATCCCTTTTAAAATTTTTTATAGCAAAATAGTATTGCATTAAATTTATATATCATTTTATTCAGAGTATTCTCATACCCCACCCCTCCCCAGTCTCCAATTCTTTGTTCCCATAAAAAGTGGTGTTATAAATATATGTGTAGGCCCTTTTCCTCTTTCTTTGATCTTTGGGGCCTACTAGAGGTAAAGCCGTGTCAAAGCTGGTGCACAATTTAGTAACTTTTGGGACAAAGTTCCAAATTGTTTTTCAGAATGGTTGGACCAATTCATAGCTCTACCAGCTATGGGTCAATATGCCTGTTTTTTACAAGGTCATTTTCCTTTTTTTGTCAGCTTTGTCAATCTAATGGGTATTAGATAGAATATCAAAATTTATTTAAATTGTATTTCTTCAATTATTAGTGAGTTGAAAAAATTTTTCAAATGCCTATTGACAGTTTGGAATTATTTCCTTGTTCATATTCTCAGACCGTTTATCAACTGGGAAATGGCTCTTAGTCTTATAAACTTTTGAATCAAGACTTCATATGTCTTGGAAATGAGAACTTTTCAGAGAAACTTGCTGGATGTTGCTAATTCATGTGGCATGTATGGTAGGGATGAATGCTTTTCCAGTGTTCCTAGAGCAAAGGTTTAATTTGTAAGGTTCAAAATTCATCTGTTCTAGGTAATATGGGTGTGAACTGCTCCACATAATTCTTTAAACTCAAGTGCAATTTAGGGCTGCTTATTCTGGTCAATAGTGCCAGCCAGGTAACTGAGAACAATTTGATCACCAGGAAGGCAAATCATTAAAGAAAAAGGAGAATCATGATGGAGACTATTTATAGAATTTTTTTTTAATTGTGAGCCTGGGAAATATGAGACCTGTCCAAAATTTGCATTCACCTAAATAGTTTTGAATAATATGCCTAACATGTTTTGACAAGAATTAGAGAGATCTATCATTTTCATTTCAAAGCAAAGTCCAGCGGCAATTTGTTCTTTTGACTCAGAGCTCACATTTTCAGGAAACTTGCTTAACAACTTACAAAGCACTTTCCTAGTCTGTGAGTTACAGAGTGCAAGCATTTATATCCCCAGTTTATAGATGGCTTAAAGAGATTAAGTGACTGGTCCTTAGTCAAATAAGACAACAAGCAGCTTTGTGAGGGTGCAAACCTGGGTCTTCTGGTTTTTTTAGTATCTTTTCCATTGTACCACCCAGTCTCTCGAGCATGTGACAACAGGCAGCCCAAGGCTTCTTTGAAGTCCAAGAAAAATTGACTCTAGGGATCATAGGACCCAAGATTTAAAGCTGCAAGAGGCCTTAGAGGCCAGTATGTCTAACCTTATTTTACAGATTAATTAACTGAGACTAGAAGAGGTTAAAACAATTGTCCAGAGTCCCAAAGTGAGTAAATGTCTGAGGCAGGATTCAAATGCAAATCTTCCTGGCACCATACTAAGCCCTCTATCTACTAAGCCACTTAGGTGAACAAGTTCTCCTTATTTTACAGATGAGGAAACTGAGGCCCAGAAAGCTAAAGTGATTTCTGTAAGGTCACATGAGAGGCAGGATTTCAACCGACTGTCTTACTATCATACCAAGAATGGACATAAAATAAGTAGTACTTGCTCATTATTTCTAGGCCTCACATGCCATTCATTCCTTGAAACAGTTGTGCCCAGCCTTTGGCTGGCAATGAATGGCAACAGAGCAAAGGTGCAAGGTGAAAGAAATAAATATTATTCTATTATGTTAATAACTAATTATTAATTTGTGATCCATCCTTTTACTTCTGTCTCTATTAAGACCCAGCTCCTGAAAAGATCAGGCAGTTTTAGAAGGGTGTAACTGTAAAGTAATTACCTTCTCCCATCTCCAAAGCGTCTACCTGGGCAGAAACCTTTACTTTTTGTCTACTCGGTAGACAAAGGCCAGCATCAGTTAGATATTTACCCCAGGGATATTTCTCCTGGTCCTTGACCCCCTCCATTAGAATGTAGCTAGACCCAGCTCTTAAAGGAAAACAGCCAGAGGATTGAAATGAAAATGGCTTCCCCCGCCCGGATTGCTGGAAGCTGCTGAGTCTCAGGATCAAGCCATGTTCTCAGCAGGAGGAACTGAAGACTTCTAGCCCACCTCCTCATTAAATGTCCACCAATCAGGGTTGAGTTTTACTTATCAGGAGCGTTCCCGGTCAGAAGGTACACATCTGATTTAAGGTGGTTCAGAGTCACCCTCAAAAGAAACCACTGACCATTAATTTATTTATTAGTCAGCCTAATTAATAAATTGATTATTAATTACCTAGACACCCCCTGTCTCTCAGGGGCTTTTTATTAACTACAAAGTCTAGGCCATGTTAACAGTGAAGCAGTGATAGCATCATGCTTGGTCATAGCATCCTCACCCCCATTTCTTTCTCTGCCATCCTTACCCCTCTTCTAAAAGTCTACTTTCTTGTTTCATCAACAGGAGGAAAAGTAAATTATAATGACATATTTCAGGTCAAATCTACATTAGAACATGTACGAACCTTGAAAACACAGCTTGCTTAGCAAATTCCACTTCTTCTGGAGACACAGAAACCATCTGGCCCGTCAGAGTTAACCTGGCACATCGAAGATCTTCCAAGTCAATAATATTTTTTCTGCATGGAAAGAACATTTCACACACATATTATAACAGCTATGCAAATCAACATAGCTCCATAATCAGCCTCATGGTAACTTAACATCTTACTAACATGGAAAATGGAGCCTATATCTGCCAGTTACTGATCCTTACTTTTCCCATCAAAGGGAAACCCAGTTTTCTACCCCAGAGGCATCGAACTTGTGGCCAGTAGACTGCTTCAAAACCTCCCTGGAACAGTCTGAACCAGATTAAAATGTAATTGGGAAACATTTGTAAAATCAATAAAAATACAACACAAGTAATGTTGATTTGTGATTTTTAAATCAATGTGTGCAGGGATCCATTTCTGTATCAGTTTAACAGCAAAGTTCTACCCCATTGGTCATAGAGGGTTCATTTAAACCTTTAGAAGACTCAAGCCATGAAATCTTATTTGAGAAATAGATCTAGGAAGGGAAAAAGAAGGACCAGATTACCCAAGTGGCTAGTGGCTTAAGATGAACTATTATTATTTGCTTTTAAATTAATAGTGTTTTAATAATCATAGTGGCATCTCCACAGAAATAGGAACTAGACCTATGATGTTTTTGGTATAGTAAACTTCTGGATGAAGAGACACCTTTCACCAGCAGAAGTCAGCACCTTTTCTTCAAATTACAATCCTAGAAAGCTATCTAGATTACTGACAAGTTAAGTGATTTTGCCAAGGTCACACAGCTTGTATTTCTCAAAGGCAAGACTAGAAATTGGGTCTTTCTGGTTTTGAGGTTGGCTCACTAGCCATTATGGCATGCTACTTCTCCATTCTTTTGAAAAACTAGTTATACATGGATATGTGAAATATTACTAATTCAGTCTATGAAAAATGTGCTTGTTTATTTATTATTACTGAGTTATTGAATATGATTCAATATGAATATTGAATATTGAATATGATGGTTCCTTGAGCATATGGATTTATGGAACCCTTGCAATGAGTCAAGGGTTCCACAGCTTGCCAACTTCTGTCAGACCCCATGCTAGAGGGATCTCCTTTGACATGAACTCCTTCAACTTTTCCAGGGTTGGGGGATAGAAGTAGGGTTGAATTTCTTCCTCTAAAAGTTCTAATAGCTCAGAAATATTTCTTGCTTTATTTTTTTGAACCTGGATTGATTTGGGTATGTATAGACTGCTAAGATTCTTTCTATGTCTGAGAGTGTACTCTTATTTGGGACTTCAAGTATTGTATTGGTAAGGACAGAGAATCAGAGCACATTCTGCTCATCCCAGAGAAGAGGGACTTATATTTTTTGTTAGAGTTTATATTTTTCCTTTCTCCTATTTATTTATTTTATTTGGAGGCAATCAGGGTTAAGTGACTTGCCCAGGGTCACATAGCTAATAAATGTCTGACGCCAGATCTGAACTCAGGTCCTCCTGACTCCAGGATTGGTGCTATATTCACTGTGCCACCTAGCTGCCCCTTTCCTTTCTTTTATAACAATTTTAAAAACATATTTTTATAGATATCTTTTATTTGATTTTAAATTTTATTTTGTTTCTTTCATCCCCCTCCCTCTCCTACCTGGAGAAGTATCCCTTGTAGTAATTTTTGTTACGTATATTTGGTGTATCTTCCATATGAAACAAGGTGCTGCAGTAGCAGTAAAAGCCCAACCTAGCTCTCATCCCAACTTCTTTAAGCTTACAGGAAGACAAGGGTGTCACTATATAATTAATATATGCATGCTTATATATATATGTGTATATGTGTGTGTATATATAGGCATATTTATATATACACACACATACATACACAAATGGATATATGTATGTATATGTAAGGGACAGCTAGGTAGCACAGTGGATAGAGTGCCAGTCTTAGAGTCACAAAGACCTGAGTTCAAATGTGACCTCAGATACTTACTAGCTGTGTGACCCTCAGTCACTTAAACCTTCTTTGTCTCACCTGTAAAATGAGCTGGAGAAGGAAATGGCAAACTATTTCAATATCTTTGCCAAGAAAACCCCAAAAAGGGGTCACAAAGAGTCGGAAAATGACTGAACAATGTGTATGTATAAGTATATGTGTGTATACATTTATACACACACATATATAGAATACATATATCCTATACACGTGTGTGTGTGTGTGTGTGTGTGTGTGTATTTGTGTTTGTGTGTATAGGAGACTGGGTCTCCTTTTAGCTAACCCAGGCCACCTGTGCGCCCAATCCCACTACTGGTTGGCCTAGCAGCTTTGATCTATTCCATTTTAGACCCGAGCTAATTCTCCCTTGCTTAGGCAGCCTGGTCACTCATCATATTTTTTTTTCAGCCAAAGACAAGGTTTATTAGAACATCCATCATATTGGGCAGGCTCTTAAGGACTCTGAACATTAGTGAGCTATTGGCTAGATTATAAGAATCTAAACTGCGGCTAGATTTTAGGAGTCTGAGCAGTGGCTAGATTATAAGAATCTAAGCATCTTAATGGAGACAAGATGGGCCTTGTATACAGAAAGACTATGGGAGGGATCTAGGAGTGGCCAAGTAGTCTATGAGGTAATAGAATTCCAGGGGTGATGAAGGGAGAATGGAACCTAAATAGCATTAAGGGTGGGAAGTGGCCTGGGGCCATATGGAGGTATGGAATTATAACCTCAGGAGAACGCCAGAGATTTGGCCATGTGGGAAAGTCCAGGGTTTTTCCTTTTTGGGGTCTAGATCCCATCCTCATCATTCTCCCCTCAAACAAATGGGAAATTCTTTTGGTGTAAGGCACTCATCATATTGATGCCAGAAATAGAGTAGACTCTTGATTTGTCTGACTTACTGTAGTTCAGAACTCCTGAACTCAGGTAATTCCCTGCCCTCGTCCTTCCCAGCAACAAGAATTTACAGGTGTACACTACCCATGCCCAGTCAAGTGGTGTTTTATTTAGGCCACTAGCCTACTGTTATCAACAATTTCTCCAACAAATACACGGGCAGTCCCTTTATTAGTGTGCATGAACCTCTGACTTTGACCAAGCCATATTGCTTCATTGGCTGGGCAAGAAAGAAACCCTCATTGACTGGGTTCTAAAACAACTGGGTGGCGCAGTAGATAGAGTGCTGGGCCTGGAGTCAGGAAGACTCACCTTCCTGAGTTCCAATCTGGGCTCAGATACTTACTAGCTATGTGATCCTGGGCAAGTCACTTAACCCTGTTTGCCTCAGTTTCCTCATCTGTAAAATGAGCTGGAGAAGGAAATGGCAACTTACTCCAGTATCTTTGCCAAGAAAACCCCATAAAGAATTGGATACAACTCAACAACAAAAGCCTGATTTAGGTTTTTATACAAAAATATTGCTCAGTGTCATAAAAAAGGAATATTTACTGCCCCAGAGCTCCTGTACTATCAGATTTCTTTGGCACATAGCTTATTAATCACATTGAAATGCACAGAAAAATTTCAACGTGACCAAATCTCCAAAACCTCCTTTTTACCTCCCAGGGCATGGAAAATGAATGAGAGAGAGTGGGAAGGATGGGGTTTCTAACTTGGGCCATACTCTGAGACCTGGACTAAGATAGTGAAAGTTAGAGGAGAAACTAGAGGGTGCTAGAAGATAGATTCATGTCCTGAGCCCTTCCCTCTGCTCTTTAGTTTTTAGAAGCTTTTTAGAAGTTTTTAGAAGCTTTTTAGAAGTTTTTAGAAGCTATTCATCTCACCAGCTAACCTGGACTTGCCTTTCTTCACATTGGTTTGCATGGCCACTCTCTAGGCTGGGGATACCCAGGCACTAGGTCAATCTCTCTTGCATGACAGTTTAGTCTCATCTTTGCCTCCACAGCACAAATCTCTAGGGGCTGTTTGAACTCTTTTGGCACAGCTTACAGTAGCAGCGAGCAATATTTGTGACAGGCATGATCCTTTCCCTAGTAGTTCTAAATTTCAAGGGCAAAACAGTCAGGACTGTCGGTATCTCTCTCTGTTAGTAGCCCACAAGGGAATGGCAGGAAGTCTCTCTCACGGACAAAGGAAGGAAGGGAAAAAAAAAAGTCAACAACAGCCAACTCTGGATGCCCACCCCTGGACCTTTGTTTCCTCCTCTTCTCCTAAGCTTGCTCCAATACAAGCATAGTGCTCCCTATTCTTGAAGGAGGGATCAGTGGAATGAGAGAGGAATATATCTATCATAATTAGTGCTTTCTGCCAGTCCTTTCTCTCTGTCTTAAAATTATCATCATTCCAGGCCCTGATGAAATTATTGAGAACAGATTGGGTCCCCTACTCCTTATCATGGGCAGTGGTCACATTAGCACATCAGCGAAAGCCCTACCTATTCAGTTTCATGACAGCTAGTAGGTAGAACTCTAAGAGCTCAAGAGGACCTTGGAGATCAATTAGATAAATCCCTACATTTTACAGTTGAGGAAATTGAGGCCCATAGAAAAGTGACTTGCCCAAGGCCACAACAAGTAAGTGTCAGAGTCAGAACTTGAACCCAGGTCTTTTGATATTAAATCCAGGGCTCTTGGTCACTACATTGCACTATCTCTGCCAGCCAGAGCTGGATGTGTTTGGGGCACCTATGGGTCCAATTCCACTACTGATAGGCCTCCTCTCCCCTAAAAGAACATTGCCTGGGGCAGAAAAGCCAAATGAACCAAACTTTGTTTTGAGGAACTACCTCACAAAGGTCAAAGGATCATGAGGCTGTAGATGTGGAGTGGGAAGGAACCTTAGAAGCCATCTGATCCAGTCTCCTTCCAGTTCGAAGTCCCACAAGTGAGTGGCAAATACAATCCAGCTTACTTCTGAAATTCCAAATACCACACAATTTAAGATTGGGTAACAAAATCAGTGGTAATATTCCCATGCTCTTTGAACATTTCTGATTAGATAAGAGAGTAAGAGTCACATTTATGACCTATTTCCAAAGCTATTAATTGGTAACATCTGCTTCTTTGCTGTGACTTCCTCTCCTTGAACGATCTCTTTCCCCCTCCCAGAGACAGTACCGAAAGAATTGTTTCTAAAT